ATAACCGGCTCTCGCCGGTGGTAGGTCGCTTTATTAAAGCTGCCAGCACGGTTGCTCTCACGGATCTGCAGGCCGGCAGTGAGGAGATCTTCAGGGGGGGGGGGGGGGGGGCTCTTGCAAGGCCTGGGAGGGGCGCACCTCGACGGCCAACATCGGGTTGACTCCCTCGACAAGCGCGGCGGCGCGTCCCTTGAGGGTGAGCAAGCCGTTCGCATCGACGCACCCCAGCGAGCGGAAAGCCGCGTCGAGCGAGCCGCCAGCCGCCGCAGGCGAGTGCCTAATTAAGCAATCAATTATCATTTAATTAAACATTGATTAACTAATTAATCAGGCGAGTGCCGCAAGCGAGTGCCACGTCTCCCCCGCCTCCTCGGCCGCGGCAGTCGCCAGCCGGACCAGCCGCAGGCGGTGGCACAGCTGATACGCAGCCGCAACCGCGGACCCCTCCGGCGCCGGCGTCGCCACGATCTGCGCCTCGACAGCTGCGATCTCGTCGAGGAGCGAGAGCAGCGCCGCCTAATTAATTAATTAATTTGCCAGGGCCAAATCAACTGCCTGGCTGGTGCCAAGGCTCAAAGGCTCTCCTCTCTCTCTCTCCTCCCTCCCTCCCTCCCTCCCTCTCTCCCTCTCACCCCCCCCCTCTTCTCTCCTCTCCCCCTCCTCCTCTCTCCTCTCTCCTCCTCTCTCCTCTCCTCTCCTCTCCTCTTCTCATCCTCTCCCCTCTCCTCCTCTCCTCTCTCCCCCCCTCTCCCCCAGCAGCTTCCTCGAGGCCGAACAGGTAGATCCTCCCTGATCGCTAAGCTACCACAGGGGAAGTAGACGTCGTCCGCCGCCGCCTCCGCCGCCCGCGTGCCTCCGCCCCGCTCAGCAAAAAATCAGCATTATATCAGGAGGTGCCAAAGCCGCAGCATCTCCATGAGGTGAGCGTCGTGCGTTTTGCCGCCGCGTGCCGCCGCTGCGCCGACTGGCTCCCGGTTCGAATCGCCCTTCGCGGAGCGAACGCGGCGAACGAGCGCACGTCGCGCGCGTGTGCGCCTGCGACAAGACGAGAAGAGAAGGAGAAGTAGACGGTTGTTGTTTTTGCTGCCGCGGCCGCGCCGCGAGCTCGCGTCTGTTTTGGCGCCGACGACGCGACGCGCCCCGCTGCGTGAGATGGCGCCGCCGCGGAGTCGGCGCCGCGTTCAACCGCGCGCCAGCGGCGAGCGGCGCAGCGCGGCCACCATGCGGCGCGACGTGCCCGCCGAAGATTCTTTTTTTGTCGCCGCCGCAACCACCGCTCCCTCGGCGAGGCACGCCCCCACCCGCCTGCTCGACCTCCCCACGGAGCTCCTCGTGCGCGCCCTCTCTGGCTCTCTCTCTCTCGAGATTTTTAGCAATACCCAATACCACCAAACAACTCTAACACTCACACGTCATTTGGGGCCTGGAGCCCTGTTCACGCGCGCGCGAGACGTGCAGACAGGGTTGCCAGGTGAGAGCGAATTGCGCGTTTTGTTCTCTCTCGTCCGTCTCGTGCGACGGCCCCGCCGACATCGCTCGCGCCGCGGCCGTCTCGCTGCTCTTCCACGCCTCGCTCGCGCTGGAGGGCAGCTTTGTGGGCAAGAGCGCTCAAAGAAGAAAAATCCGGACGCCGC